CCTGGCCAGGCCCCAGACACACAGAGGGAGTGAGCCAGACAGAGCCCTTGTCCTTGCGGGACTCACCAGCTGACGGGAAGTGAGGGGCTGTCTAAAGAATCCTGTGTATATTGGTCACGATTCTGTAATTTGAGACGGGCAGCAGGTCAGTTGTATAAAAGAATGTGTTTGCTTTTGCTGTTCATTGTTGTCCACTTGTTTTGGAGAGCAAAACACCAATCTCACAAATATGCATTTAAGTTGTCTGAGAAATCTGTATTTCCTCCTCGGGTTTCTTTTGCGGGCATGCTCTGGGCACAGTCTTTCGGGTGATCTCAAGAGATGGAAATGGAGCATGTTACGGTCCATGGTGATATAGTTAGTATGTTACCGGGGTGTGGTTTCTCTGAGTTGGCTCTGGTTTTTCCAGATACTTATCCTACAACTTCTTTGTTCCCTTCTTTATTTGGTACCAATTTTTATCCTCCTTGCTTCTTATAGGGTCTTGATAAAGGGAAGGAGTCTTGCACAATTTCTACCTCTTTAAATTCCTGGCCCTTGCTACAATATCATGTCATGGTTTTAGCAGTATTTAAGAATGATTTTGAGAATCACTATTGATATAACTGTCTATACCGATATAACAGAATATGTTTTAAACCCTTGGCACATTGCCAATAACATCCCAAACACAAATGAAATCCTATTACACATCCCCAGCCTGTTTGAACTTTCTACGAGTCATGGCCATGTTATTTCAGAGAATCCATAAGTTGTTAGTGTTTATTGCTCATCCATCATCTAGCTGGTGTGTGATTAAGTTCCCCACACCTTCGGTGCAAGCTCAGAGCTGTTACATTGGTTGCACCTTTGCTTATTAAGGGAAACTCAATGGTACTGGTCTCACGATTTAACTTTCAGGTGATGCAGTTGTTGGTCTCTGTGTGTGCATTCATCGTGGCAAATGTAGCACGTGACTTCTGTGCTGCTTGTTGATTTTAAGTTTATCAAATATTCTTTCTCGTTTATTTTTAGGGTTACCATCGACCCAATCATTACATTGCTACCCAAGGTAAGTTTATTTCCACTTTGATATCTTTCTTTGGTTTTTGCCCATTCTCTACCATTTCATACCCACTCCACCCTCCCTCAGGAAGACGTTAAGCACATGCGGCACCCTTTGTTGCAGCTGTAGCCATGAACACGTATGCTCTTGTTTTCCCATCAGAAGTTGTGGTGATGTACTCGTTTAGTTAGAACTTCGTGTCGAGATCATTAGGAGAAATGCGTTCATCAACTCATTATTGAATCCAATCTGTCTACCTTAGGAATTAGTCTGACATTTGCAAAAACAGATATATAGATATCCACTCAGTAAATATGCACTGGCAACTCTCCAGACGAAGGACTGTGCTGGTCGCTGCCGGGAGCCACGCTGAATCCAGCATCACCCCCCTTCTCCCAGTGGTTACATCCAGTGGGGGAGACACAGGGTGACCTGTGTGTGCTTTAGCAGTGCAGCACCAGGTAATGAAAGGTATATATAAAATGTCATGGACGTTTGGAGCAGGAAAAGGTTCAGGTGGGGTGATCCAAAAACAGCTTTGCAGCAGAGGTGAGATTGGAGGAGGACTTTTAAATGGGGAGGCATCATGAGCAAAGACCCAGGAGCAGGAAATTAGTCGTCCTAGGCAGAAAGCAGCCAGCGGGTCACCTGGCTAAGGCAAACCAAGAGAAAGCTAGAGAAAATGTGCAGAAGCTTGTGGCAATGGTGGTCGTATGGTCTCCGCACCGACCCTGAGGCAGGTCGTCTGCAGAGATTGAGGGTCACGAGAGGGCTGAGGTTGTAGGGGACGAGGCATCCTAAGGGCTGAGTCAGTGAGCTGACACGAGATGCACTGAAGAAGTGCTGAGAAGCAGAGAAGGCCCAGTTAAGGCCGGAGCGCATGTCTTCTCTCCATTTTAGCGCTTTACTGTTATTTCCAGGAATGTATCATGTCCCAGACACAGGAGCAGGGCAATCACAAGGATGCGAGCTGCCAGGTGAGGCACTGGCAGGGGGTACATGACAGAAAGCTGAGGAGCAAGGGAATCAAGGATGCCAAGAAAATTGTGGCTGGAAAGTCTAGGTTTGGAGGGAGGAGACCAGAGGTGTCCAGTGGACCCTGGAGAGAGGGAAGGAGCTCACGGACAGAGGCCAGGTTCAGGCGATGAGTCAGAGCTAGGAGAAGAGGCAGGTGTAGCCAGGGAACAGAATTTCAACACTTAGAGCAGCACTGTCCAGTAGAACTTTCTCAGTGGAGGGAATGTTCTCTATCTGCATTGTCCAGTATGGTAGCCACTAGCCACGTGTGGCTCCCGAGTGCTTGACATGTACCTACTGTAAACAAAGAACTGAATTTTAAATTTTAATATTGATATAAGTAACTACATTCGGCTATTCCCTGTGGTATCATTGGACAGTGATACTTTGGGGTGGAAAAGCTCTAGCTGTGGCTACAAGGAGCCCGTGTGGATCCTGACCCTGCCTAATGCCCACGGCTGCACTGAGAGCCTCGGCGGCGCCACGCGCAAAGCCCGCAGCCACACGTCACCAGTGGGGCACTCTGCACTCAGGTCTAGAGGCCCGTTTGACTTCAAGTGTCTTCCTTCTCTGGGACGTGAAGCCAGTAATGGCTCCTTCCAAGGTCGCTCTGCTGCCAGATGCGAC